CTGCGGGTAAGAGGTGAGAATAGAAAAGTTAATTGACGAACTATTTTTAACCATAGTGGTCCTGGAGGAATTACACTTGCCGATTAAGACTCTCCCTTTAGAAGCTTTAGAAGGAGCTTCTGGAGTAGTCTCATGAAGCATGGCTTTTGTTTAATGATTTAACATATGAAATATTTGAATTAACACTCCATATTAAGCACAGAGAAAAAGTGTGCACAGGATATTACAAATAAGAAATTAAAAAGTAATGACTTTTCACTTTGGAATTATCCGTTATATTTTTAAACAGTTAATTAATATTTATGATTTTCACATGTGTGTAAGTAATACAGTTGTTTCTCTTTACAACTCAAAACATGTGGTTATTATCTGCCTTACCATCACATGGCTTTTCTAGACTTAATAAGCTTAGTCAGGTACCTGACTGTCCAAAGTGTAACAGAGACCTTATACTGGCGAGTGAGAAAGGATCTAATTCCTTATTCCTGCTCTACAGTGTTTACAGTTCACTGACAACATTTATGTTTAACTATCTTGATAAGCTCTGAGTCAAAAATAAAAAGAACCTGCCGAGGTTTGCTCTCACTTAATCCTAAGTGTTTATTAAATAAACTGCCAACTTCTACCCAGGGTATACTTTTCCCTCCTCGCCTAAGCTTGGCTATAGTTTCTTTTGCAATGTGGTTATTTTTTCAATTTTTTTATTGACTTGTTTTTCTAATTTGATCACAGTGGTTATGTGAAACAAGCAAAACTTTCTATATTGTTTGCTAAGAGGACTCGTTATATGTTACTATTAAACGTCACAAGGAGGGAGGAGTATATGGAGATAAAGAGAGGTTAAGAGAGTAGTGAAGCAATGTACAAAGAGAGCAAATGAGAAGTGGGCGAGAAGTTATCAACAAATTTTGTTGGAAATAAGAAAAAGTTTTGGAGTGAGATTAATAAGTTGAGGAAGCCTATGGAACAACTGGATTTGATAGTTAAAAATAGGAGAGGAGAGTTATTAAATGTAGAGTTAGAGGTATCGGGAAGATAGAGGGAATATTTTGAGGAACTGATAAATAATGATGAAGATAGGAAAGCTGTGATTTCGTGTATAGGTCAAGGAGGAATAACATCTTGAAGGAGTGAAGAAGAGCCAGTTTTGAGTATGGGGGAAATTTGTGAGTCAGTGAGTAGAATGAAAGGGGGTAAGGTATCTGAGATTGATTAGATAAAGATAGAAATGTAAAAGCAGGTGGGATGTAGTTTTGGAGTGGTTGGTGCTAGTATTTAATAAATGTGTGTATAGAGGGTAAGGTACCTAGGGGTTGGCAGAGAGCATGCATAGTTCCTCTGTATACAGACAAAGGGAACAAAAGAGAGTGTAAAAATTATAGGGGAATAAAACTGTTGAGTATACCTGGTAAAGTGCATGGTAGACTAATTATTGAAGGAAGAGTAAGACGGAGAATATGATAGCAGATGAACAAGGAGATTTTAGGGAAGATAGGGGGTGTGTAGACCAAAGGTTTACAGTGAAAAATATAGGCGAACAGTATGTAGATAAGGGTAAAAAGGTTTTTGTAGCAGTTATGGATTTGGAAAAGGCAAATGACAGGGTGGATAGGGGGTAATGTGGCAGATGTTGCAGATGTATGGAATAGGAGGTAGGTAGGATTCTGAAGCTCAGGTTAGAGTATGCAGGAGAGGGTGGAGATTATTTCCCAGTAACAGCAGGCCTTAGACAGGGACGTGTGATGTCACCATGGTTGTTCAATGAATTTATAGATGGGCTTGTAAGAGAAGTGAATGTCCGAGTGTTGGCAGGAGGTGTCGGGTTAAAAGATAAAGAATCTAACACAAAGTGGGAGTTGTCACAGTTGCTCTTTGCTGATAACACTGTGCTTTTGGGAAATTCTGAAGAGAAGTTGCAGAGGTTGGTGAATGAGTTTGGTAGGGTATATAAAAGAAGAAAGTTAAAAGTACATATAGGAAAAAGTAGATTTGATGAGGATAACCAAAAAAAAAATAATAGGTAACAAAATTACTGGACATACAGGTTGGAGGGTGAGAGTATGGGAGAGGTGATGTCTTCGGTATTTTAAGGGTGGACGTGTCTGCAGATGAAAGATTAGGTGAATCATAGGGAATTTATGAGGGGAACAAAGGTTTATGGTGCACTAGGAGTCTCTGGAGACAAGGAATCTTTGTCCCATGAATGCAATGAGGGAAAGAATGAGAGTATTGTTGTACCAATGTTCTTTTCTTGGGGATGATAGCATGGGGGTGAATGTTGCAACTGGAATAAGGCTGGAAGCTGTGGTGATGTTGCTGTCTGAGGGAAAGTGTAGTGTGAATATTATGCAGAGAATTATTAATTTTGGAAATGGGTGATGCGAGTTTACCTACCTATTATCCAGAGGGCTGAGGAGGTTGTTTGGGTGGTTCGGAATGTTCGTGAGAATGGAACAATAAAAAATTGGACTTCGAGAGTGTATAATTCTGTTGTGGAGGGATGGGCGGGGTAGGGGTCGGTCCTAGGAGAAGGTTCGAGGGTGGGAGATAAAGGAGGTTTTTTGTGAAAGGGGCTTTGGACTTCCATCAGGCATGCATGAGCATGTTATATAGGATCGAAAGGAGAATAATGGTTTTTAGCACTATTTGCTGTGGGTAGTGCTGAGCAGTGTAACATTCATGATGGGATGCAGGGAAACCTGGCAGGCCGACTTGAGCCAAGGAGGATGGAAAGTAACTGTGATCTGCACTTTGAAGGAGGGGTGGTTATGTTGCAGTTTTATAACTGTAAGTGTAAGGCGTGCCTCTGGCATGGACTGTGTGGTGTGAATGATGATGAATGTTTTTTATTTTTAGGGTCACACCTGACATTGGTGGGATGGACAATGTGTTATAAAAAAATATACGTTACTGAACATAGACATAATCTTTGGTGGCAGGCCGTCCTATGCCTGTGGGTTCTCTAGATTGTAGATAGGGGACTGTGGGAAACTCGTTTATCCTTCATGCGGTCAACTAATTAGATGACGAGCAATTGGGCTACCTAAGAGAGTAATTGTTAATCGAGGAGTAACTATGACTACTCTTAATGGGTGTCCAAATGCCTCGTTATCTAATTTAGTGGACGCGCATGTAAAATATGGATTAAACGATGTTTCCCACTGTCCCTTTTATATTCTCTAGCGATCCCACAGGACCAGGGGATCGGGCCCCTGCACCAATCGGATTTAAAGTTGTCTAACTGTTGCAAATGTGTCTTACCTAACAACCTGTCGGTATTGTATACCATTTTGATGTTCATCAGACTACTCAGCCGATACTACCCATCGCTGATATATGCGATAGATAATATCAATGAACAATTGATCAATGTATGGCCATGAAAAGCTCTTCTTTCAGGGTCAAAGTATGACAAAACAAGCGTTTAGGAACGCGATGTGCATGTTGATATGAAATGAGATGATGAATGAAATTAAATTATCCTAAAATATACATGGAGTCATCACCTAAAAATAGCTTAAAATTAAGGGATATAATATGTAATTTTTCTTTTATACAGAAACGTTAATCACTATTCAATGCAGTTCAATGAACTTTACAACGAAGAGATGTACACAAAATTATTTTTTCCACAGTTATGTGTCATAATCGTCTGTAGCAGCAAATTCTGATGGTGCACTTTCAGTAGCCATTGCAGTATGATCTGCTGAGTGGGTTATAGTGTTTCTTACAAATACTCTTGTAAACATTGATAAATGTCTTGCATCAAACCTTCAGCTAACTATGCACTTTTGTTTTCTACTGTTAATACCTTCACTAGGCTTTGAGATCATTGTGTTGCGATAAGTTGTTTCTTCGAGTGGAGTTCTGAAGGTCATGCTGCAAGAGATTTTTGAAAACCAATCTTCCATCTATCAACGACAGATATGATGACTAATTTTTGGATAGTGAGTGTCTTTCTTAGCCCTAACAGGGTTTCAAGTCAACTTGTAATTCATGCGAATTATTATCTCCACCAGTTGGATGCGATTTCATTGTTTTCCGGGGTGAGGGTGTTACTGGCATGAGCCCTCAGTCCTCTTAAATTTGATTGATTTGTTTTGTGTCGGCTACATTAAATAATCAAGGTCTTCATTTTTCTTATCATAATGAACCCTTTCAAGATGCTCACATCTTCGAAGGTTTCATGGCATCAATACCGAAAGTATTTTCACATAATTGGCTCTTAGGCATTGTTTCATTGCTAAACAGAGTTATGAATCCAAACAGTAAATATGTTTGTGAATACTGTCGGCACATTTTTGGTATCAACTTGCTTCCATTATGGGTGTTACAATGCTGAATTTATAGTAAATGCACAGCAATCACTTCTTTGGCACAACTCCTGTCGCTGTGGATGATGAAACTGCACTGGCTCTTCAACAGAGTTTGAGCTGAGGGAGTACTTTCAGTATGGGAAGTGAACAGGAATACTACACCTTCGTAAATTCATCTCGGGAGAGACAAGGGGAAGGGACTAGTAGCACTAACATCATAAATGTCTGTGAAATAGTGCTGAGATGCCTTCTTAATGGAACAGCATGAACTATACAACCTAAGTTAATGTCGAGTTATAACATGAAGATCATTCCTGTCCCAACTAGGTGATCTATATAGATTTAACAAATGTCATTATGTACTTATATCCTGTTACATGAAATCAACAGGAAAAGAAGGGATATGGAAATTCAGATTTCTGACTCAGACTAAAAAGAGCAGTAGTTATGTCGGTTAGTAAATCGTTCAGCACCCAAAGCATGGTCAGGTACATTGTGAAGGCTTACTCAGCCTGTATACTACTTCAGACTTATTACCAGGCTGGCTCCTCCACAGGAAAATTAATGATTGAAAAAGATATTAATAACACGACAAAACATAAACACGTTATTATATAGAAAATATAATATATAAAAACTTAAATATGATAATTTTAATCCTACATTAAAGAAATGAAAAAATGA